TGAGCTTATGCATGGAAGACAGCGATGACGGGGGCAAGTGATGAGTGCCTTGTTAGATGCCAGCTGATAGGATTGTGCTTGGGAGTGGGGGTGGAGAGGAAGATTCCTGAAAGACTTCTAAGTGGGAACTCTCAGTCCCTGAACCCACCTTTGACGGTTAGCATCTTGCTGGCTCTTCAAATGTAGGTCCTGTCCTCTAGCTTGGCTGTCTCCATCAGCCCATGTCCTGACTGGTGCCTGCCCCAATGTGCTTTGGGCACTGGCTGCTCAGGGAATTTGGACACACGGGGTGTGTTGACAACTGCAGGACAGTGAACAAGGCCCAGTGCCCAACCACTAGTAATGGGCAGGTGCAGATGCTCTGTTCTCCTGGGAATACCAGTGCATATAAAGGGCACTGCCTCTACTTTTCCCCTTATTTTGGGCAGCTCTGGGTTGAGTGGGCTGGCATGGGAGGGAAAAGGGCATCCCTCTGGGTCTGGGATTGGCAGATGGTGCAGCTGTCTCTGTCAGGTCGTGCAGCTTGTGGGCTTGGGGTTGGCCCTTTCTACTGAACCCAGTGACCGGGTTCGGTGTGGGCCATCTGACGGCATTTCTTTTTCCTAGATTCTGGAAGATATCAATCTTGTCCAGTTCCCAGACTCAGTGAGGTCTTGGCAGGGTCCCTGAAGTGGCTTTCTTTACTATGACCTCACACAAGACGGTCAACAGCACTGTGAGACCTCTCTGGTAGGGGCAGTGGGGCCAGCCTTGGGACCAACTCATACCTGGAAGCTTTAGGCTCCAAACAGGCTGCCCTCTTCTCATAATGCTGGGACTCAGGAGGCTTCACAGCCCAAAGGAGAGCTTAGGGGTCTAGCATGCCTGTATCTTTTTCCTGGTACTCTTGTTTTGAGAACAGATACTGGGTGGACTTGCCTTTACCCAAACTGGTGATGAGTCTGGCCACTGTCCTGTCTCCTGGTGTAGTTACTTGCTGGGGCTAGTTCTGGTCCAGCTCTTGTTCTGGGCACAGGTATCCAGAGGAAAAGGAACAGGCAGGTAGAGCTGGAAGGGCCAGGCCTACATCCTAGGATTAGTCCCAAGTAAAGATGTTGTTCAATAACCAAGATGGATGGGGTCGGTCTCTTGCCATCAGGGCACCCCCACCTTCTGGGCTCTTGACAACCTTAGTAGGCCACTCCCCGAGAAGTAGGCCAGGATTTCCTGGGAGACCCCCCTTTCCCCCACCCCCCTCCACTACTGGACCAGCCTTACCACTCATTGGATTATCTTAGGGCCTGTCCCATCTCCTTGCTGGCGCTGAATTCAGCTGCTTCCTGGCTCCAGCTTTGCATGGGGTGGCTTAGCAGGTGGTAGGCTTACTGAGGGTCTTCCTAGGCTGCCCCTTAGCCACTGGCCAGGCAGGGGAGGGTTGGGAAAGGAGCCACTGTGCCCCACACACCTCCAGGATCCTGGATGTCCTGTTTCCTGAATAGCTTCCTCCCTCCACTGTGGCAAGAGTTCATCCCTTTCTCTAGGTGGAGGGAGAGGAGGTTTACTCATGATGCAGGGCTTGTGTGTGCAGGTGTGTGCATGCATGTACTATCACTGAGCATTCCCCAAGAACTTTCTGTGTGTGCAAGATCCTGGACCTTTTTGCCTGGAGGCCTAGAGTGGTGAAGAGACAGGGAGACCATCAATTACAGTGCAGCAGAAGACCTGCCTCCTAAGTGGGTACTTGGGATCAGAGAGGAGGGGCTGCTTGGCGGGGAACAACAGAATGTTTTTAGGGGGAGGATTGAGCTGAGTCTTGCAGGATGGACAGGAGTTTCCCAGACAGAAGGGACTGTGGAATAGGGGTGAAGAAGGACATTTCAGGCAGAGGAAGTAGCTTACGCAAAGGCAGGAAGCATGGGAGGACGTGGCATGTTTGGGGAGCTGTAAATAGTTCCATGTGGGTGTGTGGGGGGGTGTGGTGGGTGAGGAGGCTGTCAAGGCGGGCTGGGCCAGAGCCTGGATCTGTCCCTCCCTCTGTCACACAGATACTCAGTGGGTGCCTGCCCATCTGGGCTCTGGCCCCGATGGGGCTTGGAGCTGCTGAAAGGGAGTGCAAAGTGACAAATCCGGGCAGTGTTGTGTGGGCCATTCTAAAAGATAGCCTTGCATGCTGGGCTTGGGAGTTTAGTTTCATCCTAAAGGTGAATTGGAAGCCATTAAGAGGTTCTAAGCAGGATGATCATGTGTGTTCTGGTGTCTTTTGGGACATTAAGATCAAAGCCCCGTCAGGGCTGCTGAAGTGATCCCAGGATAGGCCCTGGGACCCAAACTCTGGCAGGCCAGGGATGGAGAGGAGAGATCAAGTGACCTTCCACCCATTTCTCCATCTGACCTGTACTAGGTGTTTCTTTTGCACAGCATAGGTTGCTAGGGTCGGGGACATGAAGATAGGCTTTGTGGCAGGCACGGTGCTTTGGTCTGTCAGCAGGAGGCCTGCCAGAACCTCCTGCCTGTCTGGCTGGTCTTGTCCTGGCATGAGTAGGGCACTTGCACCATCTAGAGAGAAGAGGTGGTACTACAGCAATTTATGCTTCTGCCTGGGTGGGGTGGGAGGAGCTTCAGGCCAAGAGAAATGACTGTGCTGCAAGGTAGACTTGATATGGGCAAGAGAGTTTATAGCAAAATATTGGGAGGGAGGTGTGGGGGGCGAAGAGAGGGTCACTGAACCAAAGAGTCCCCAAGAGGACATTTGAACTTGACTGGGCAGGGAGGAACTAGATATTCAGAGGTTTGGATGGATGGGCATTCTAGGCCAACGGACAGTTTGGACTGTATTATAGCTACTAATAACCAAGAACAGTTATGGAGCACTTGCTGAATGCTAGACCTGGGCTACGTCCTTGTGAAGTGTCTCATTAATATGACAGTCTTATAAGTAAATATCAAGGAACTGGGGCTCCAAGAAGCTAAGGGACTTGTCCAGGATCACATGACTTGGGATATACACCTTGGCCTGCCTCCAGCTGTGGTTCTGACAACTGCATCATATTGCTTGCCACTAAAGCTCTGAGCGAAGCTTGATGTCGCAGGATTCAAGGGGGAAGCAAGGGGACCAGAGCCATAGAGAGCTGGAGGTGACCCCTGGGGTCTGCTTAGAGGTGAGAGCCCGGAATGTGTGCCCAAATCCCAGGCAGCAAAGTATGACTCCAAGGCAGGGCTGGGATGGCCAGAGTGGAAGAGGCAGAGCAGGGCTGAGAAACCCCTAGAGGATTGCTGACAGATCTTGGAAAGGGCTGGAGTGGAAGGACAGAGGTGAGAATTGGTAATAATGACTTTATAGTGCTGGGAAGGTAGGCTGGGGAGAACAGTAGTGGAAGTAGAGAGAGTGGCCTGTTTAAACTTAGGGGTCAGCAGGCCCTTGGTAGGGGGAGAAAGGAGCCTTCAAATCATGTAAAACCCAGCATTGAGAGCACAAGATCTGTGCTAAGTCTTCTGGATCCAGGAACACATGCTGCTGGGGGCCTAGCCTAACAGCTGGTACAGACTTACGCACCTTGAAAGCTGACATGGGAAACAGGTAGCAGAAGGTGGACAAAGTAGGGCCCCCTGATGCCAGGAGGAGAAATGAGTGCTGGGCCTTGTAGGCCTTGGGGATCAGTCCTTTAGAAGTGTTAGAGGCTCACACAAGAGCCCCACGTGGCTGACTGGGTTTTCTGGGAGCCAAGGAAGAGAGGGTAGAGGGAGTTTAGGGAGGGTGGGGAACAGAGTGGGATGTGCAGGCAGTGGGGCCCCGGAGAGACTTGGAGGAGAACCAGTAGTTGTGGGCTTAGTCGGGAAGAGACTTGGGAAGTGGGCCAGGTCCTAGAATGGGGCATGGGTCGAATAAGTAATCTAGGGTGCTGGTGGCTAGCCCTACTTGAGAGACTAGGAGGATCCCCTCACAGAATTTCATTAGCACCCCAGAGGTCAGTGATCCCATGTCCTGACCAGTGCTACCTCCAGCCCCTCAACAGCCAGATGCCAGGTCCCCAACCTGGCCTCTTTACCCTGTGAGCATGTAAACACACACACTCTTGCTTTCCCAGGGCATGACCCTTGAGGGCTCTGGGCTCTTTTCCTTGTTCCCACTGTTCAGTTTTGCTTCCTTGCCTGCCATAAGTTCTCTGCTAGGGAAGCCTGCTCTTCTTTAGGAGATAGGAGGGAAATGAGCTGATAGGGCTATGCTGGATCCAGGCTCCATAATCAGCCAGCCTGCAGTCCTGCTTGTGGCCTTGGGGAAGTGAGGGCTGAACAGAGGGCCCCATCAGGAGGTGGAAAGGCCCCCTAAGTGGTGCTGTTGATGGGCTATGTAGATGGCGATGGTTTAGAGGTCCTCTCTGTTCTTCCCTCTCCAGGTCTTTTGGGGGCAGAGACTAAGTCTGATCCCTCACCACGACCCCAGGGTCTCTAGCACAGGGCATAGAATGTTGATGGAAGAAATAAATGAAGGAATGGATGAGAGTCCTGCAGCAGGATGCCATAGTCAGGGGCCACAGATGGGTTCCAGCAGGAAAATAGCCAGTTCTATCCTAGTATGTTGGGGCTACACAGCCTGTTGTAGTGGATAGTTCTGCCAGGCCTGACCTGAGCAGGCATAGATCCAAAGGCAGAGGATCTGAGGGCCTCCTCTTTTTTTTTTTTTTTTTTTTTTGAGACAGAGTCTTACTCTGTCACCCAGGCTAGAGTGCAGTGGTGTCAGCTTAGCTCACAGCAACCTCAAACTCCTGGGCTCAAGTGATCCTCCTTCCTCAGCCTTCCCAGTAGCTGGGACTACAGGTGTACACCACAATGCTTGGCTAATTTTTTTCTATTTTTAGTAGAGATGGGGTCTTGCTCTTGCTCAGTCTGGTCTCAAACTCCTGACCTCAGGCGAGCCTCCCACCTCAGTCTCCTAGAGTGCTAGGATTACAGGGATGAGCCACTGTGCCTGGCCTGAGGGCTTCCTTCCTTTGCCCAACTCTGACACCTCTTTGCTTCCCCAGGTGCCCCCTGAGAAGTGCCGTTGTGCAGTGGGCAGCATCCTGAGTGAAGGTGAGGAATCAGCCTCTCCTGAGCTCATCCATCTGTATGAGAAATTTGGCTTCAAAGTATTCTCATTCCCGGCACCCAGCCATGTGGTGACAGCTACCTTCCCGTATACCACCACACTGTCCATCTGGCTGGCTACCCGCCGTGTGCATCCTGCCTTGGACACCTATATCAAGGTGAGGCACAGGCTTGGGATGTGCGTGTGTGTGTGCACATGTGTGTGCCAGGTCCCTTGGGTGGGAGCTGGGGAGGATTGCCAAGGTTGGGAGGAAGAGGTGGTTTTGGGAGAGAAGCATCCTGGGGCCCTCATGGAGAGGGTGTCTGTGGAGCTAGGAAGATGGGCAGAGACTGTTGACATCTCTTTCAGATGCTCGAGACCTTGTGGGGGCCAGAGCATCTCCCAAGAGCATGGGGAGCTTATTCAGAAGCGTGGCCTGCTCAGTTTGGCTCTAGCTTTGACCAAAGACATCCTTAGTGCTCATCCTGTGCTCCTGGCTCAGATGGATGGACAGACCCACCCTCTTCCTATCCTGGTGGAGGCCTGCAAAGCAAGGCCCTGAGGCTCCAAGTGGCTGGGCAGGCCCCAGGTACCCGTATGTTGCCCCTCGCCCTGCCTCTGCATGGGTTTATGCACCTGCTCTCTGAGCCCAGGACTGCGGTAGCAACAACAGGCCCTGTCTTCTTACTAGTGTGATCATTAGCAATCCTGGCCCAGCCTTCCAGGAGGATGGGAGAGAGCTCCACCAGGAGGTCTGACAGGGGTCTGTGTCTATAGAGATTTTTAAAATTTGCTCTATTGCACATCCCTTCTCCTCTAAACATTTTGTAAACTTGGATATGAGGGAAATGACCTCAGTTTCAGCTTGGAAGTGATTGTTTATTCATTCATCTAACTTATATTTATTAAGAATCTGTGCACCGGTTGCTGTGATGGGCATGAAGTGAAATCTTGGTACATGAAACAGGCATTTACAGTGAGGTGATGAAGATAGGTAATGAATGTCAGACAGAAATGGGGCACAGGAAAGAATAGGGTGAGAAAAGTCAGGGGACCAACTTGGCCAGAGTGGTTAGGGACAGCCTGTTGGAGGAGGTAACCTCAAGACAGAGTTCTAGAAGAGCCTTTGGAGAGGAGTAAGAATGTTCTAGGCAGAGCAGGGTGAGGAACACAGATTTGATCTAAATGCAGTGGGAAGTCACTGCATTGTTCCAACCACAGAAGTTACATGGTTGGAGCCACATATATAGAAGATGGGCTGTCCTATCCCTGGGTAGGGTAGAACTGGATCTCAGATCAGGGGCTGGGTGGAGGTGCTTAGGAGGCTGTCATGAATCCCAGTGTGAGTGGTGGCAGCTTGGGCTGGGACAGTGTCTATAGGGATGCAGACAAACACAGATTTACAAATATTTGGGGGTAAAACCAATGTACTTTTTAGGTGGATTTGCTGTTGGGGGAGGGGAGGATGTAGGGGGAGTCACAGAGGGCTCCGTTTCCCTGTGGCCTGGGCAGGTGGATGAACGTGTAGTGATGCTTTCACTGAGATGTGGGGGAACTGAGGGAGGCCCTGATTTTGGAGGGGAAACCAGCTCTGTAGGCTATGTCAATGGAGCTGCCTGAGAGACATCCCAGTGAGGGGGTGTGGAATTAGCATTGGCGAATGTAGAATCTGGAGTTCAGAGAGGGCCGGGCTGGTGGATGTGTTTGGGAACATTGGCCTGTTGGCAGTATTTGACCTGGCAGTCTCCCCTGGGCCTCCTACCCTCTGTGGGGCCAGGCAGTCAATGGACAGCTTGTGGCAGCAAGAGCTGTTCAGAGGGTGTGGCCAGTGTGGCTGGGATCAGTGAACAGGACAAGAGAGTCAGTGAGAGTGGGACCTTGGTGGACTTGGAAGAACCTTGCCACTTTGTTCTCCAGGACAGCTTGGGGAAAGGGACAGGGCGTTGGTGATGGAAATGGGAGCTCAGACAAGTCCTGAATAAGGGGGTGCAAGAGTGCGGTGTCAGGGCTGAGGGATGAATAAATAAGGCCCTGGGTCACCAGCTGTGGCCTTGGTGGTCAAGGACAGGATTGAAGAAACAGGTGAGAAGACCTGGAAACAGGAGGACTGTCACAGGGTTAGGGCCAGGGCACAGGGAGGATAGAGGCAAGTTTCCTTTGTCATCTGGAAGGTGGAGGCCAGAAGGGATGCTGGGAAGGATGTGCTTGCCAGGGCTGGGGTTGGGCTGGAGATGGGGGAGCTGGCTGGTGGTGAAGGCAGGAAGGGAGACACCAGTGCCCTACTCTTGCTCAGTGTGCCACCGCAGGGGTATCTTCCCCCATTTCATTCGAGGAAGGGCTGGTGTGTGGTGTCTCCAGTCCTGTCTGTCACTCTCAACCTCAAGAGCTAGTGTGGAGAAGCACTCCCTGGGAAGAGACTTCTTGGGTTCCAAACCTCAGAACAGAGAGCATGGCATGTGGTGTGGTGGCGAGCAACTCAGCCACCAAAGCCTTTTCCTGGCTTCAGGGGTTTATTTTTAGACACCTTTGTCCAAATTTCCCGGCCCCTGACAGCTTCACAAGTTGCCTGGTTTTGACGTCACCTCTTTGATGAAAGCCCTTCCTCCTTCCTCCCCCTCTCGTGGGAGCCCGTCAGCTGTGTGCTGGGCTCAATTCTGCTGGGGTGGGGGATGGGATAAAGAAGCCAGAGGTACGGGGGAGAGGAAGGGGCTTCTCTCAGAGATGTCTGCGAGGTATATTTGCGTGCGCTTGGCCACCAGCTGAGAGAGTGAGAGAGAAGCTAGGCTGCCCACAGAGGAGGCACAGCCCCAGGTCTTTGGCTTGTTTTGGCAGCAGGGAGTGGGATCGCCTCTGCCCCTGTTGAGCCTGACCTTGCATCCTGGGGAACAAAGCTGGGGGAGAGATGAGGAAGGGGCTGGCTCTGTTTGCTGGTCACAGCCTGCAACGGACAGAGGGTGGCCCTGTGCCTCTTTCAGCCCAGCAAACAGCAAGAAGAGAGTATAAGGCTCCCTCCTACCCTTGCTTTCTTCCTTACTGCCCTGAGGGTCAGAGAAAGGAGGCTACTAATGAGACTCTGGGTGCTTCTGACTCTCCCAGCCCCGACAGCTGGCTGCCTTTAACTGTGTGTGTGTGTGTGTGTGTGTGTACACCCTTCCTTTTCTCTCTGGATCTAGGACTGCTGTGAAGGTTCTTCAAACGGAATGACAGCAGCCATCAGCTTTCTGTTTCAGGAGGGACGAGGGAGGCCAGGAGTCCTACTGTCAGGAGGGAGGGAGGGAGGAAGTCTTGGCAGGCTCATCTGCCTCCGTAGAGGCAGGGGTAAGGGGTGGGGTGAATGGGTCTCAGCTTTGGGTAGGGGAGGTGGATAGCAGCTGCTGTCCCGGCAGTCACAGATGAGCCTGAGCCTGGGGCAGAATTGGTCTTATGGGACTGAGGGACCTGGGGGTTACTGTGAGGGGTCCAAAGAGAACCACTTGTCAGGCCTCTCTGGGGATTTTGGAAGGGATGGCTGGATCTCAGCTTTGTGGTCTGCATGGCAGCCTCTGGCTCTCTGGCCAGTCTTCCCTAGCTTGGCGGCCTGTCAAACTGAGCTATAGGGGCTGGAATTCTACCGTTCTCCACATAAACTATTGGGGGGCCCCAGGCTGAGCCCTCCAACACAGTGTGTATGTGTCCCTTGATACTGTGTGACCATTACTCTATATGGAAGATGCCCCAGCTTTGTCAGGCTGCTCGACTGGAGTCCAGGGAGGTGGCCTCCAGGGCAGGAGGAGACCATTCCCTGAATCCCAGGAAGGGGATGTCTTCTGGCAGGTGCAGGAGGGAACTGAGCTTCTTTGAAATTACAAGCCTGCAGAGGAGATATGAACCCAGAGATATGAACCCAGAGCAATGAGCCCCAAATTTCACAACAGTCTTAATGACTGTCTAGGGAAGGCTTTGGGCTCACAGAACAGACCAAGACTGAATGATGGGGCCTGGGGATCCCACTTGTTGGGTTGCATGTGAAAAGGTCCCAGGTGTAGTATTTGGCTCGTGTCTCTCTGTAGCAGTTGGTGGGAGAGGTCATTGAGTGTTAGACTAGCCTAGCTTCCCTCTCTGCACAGTCCAGAATTTCCATAAACCCCCCTTCCCTAGGGTCTCTGATTTCCAGGAATTTTTAGGGGAGAGTCCTTGTAAAATGGTTTGAGCATCTTCTCCCAAGTTTAGGGAGATACAGGGCATTGTCCACATGATAGCTGATTGGCTAGGGAGTGCAAGCAGGCCCTGCAGGTCAGATATTGGCCCTTCCTCCATTGAATTGGAGAAAAGGGTTGGAGGGAGGATTGCCGAGGGGATGTAGTGAGGGGAACCTTGGTGGTAGAGTTCTAGGACAGCTGGGTTGACTGGGGTTGTTCTACCAGGGGTTTAAAGGAGGCAGGGACCCCAGATCTTAGTTCTCAGACTGCCCTGGGGTGGGAGCCTAGGGCTGTGCTAAGGTGCCCTTGGCTGGCAGCCTGAGGTAGGGGCCGCGCTCAGACCCTTACCTGCTTCAACTAGAGTAGTTTTGCTTATGAATTTTACAAACCAGGTGACGTCTTGAGCTTTTGGAGGAGGGCTTCTGAGGTTCAATTAGTTGGAAGATCTCTGTCTTAAGAGAGATACACCACTGGACAGATGCCCCCTCCAGCCCTGGCCAACTCCGTGTCTGTTCTAGATCCTGAAGATGCTGTGGCAGCTGCAGTGTGAGTGGAACTAGGAGATACCGGGGCTCAACCCTGGGCAGATGGGGTGGGGGCACCCAGAAAAGGCAGTTGCGTCTGAGGAAACATGACTCTGATTGGAAGCTGGACCTGGAAGGGAGCCCTGGAGAGCTGCATGTTGGAGATCTCTTGGGGTAGTGGTGGCTGAACTGAGTGGTGGGTGATAGCATGGCAGTGCCATGGGGCAACCAGGTTGGAACTAAGGTCTAGGAGCTCCAGTAGGGTGCCTGTAGAAGTGGATTAGCCTGTTGAGCTGTTGGCTGGGAGAAAGCTCACAACAGCTTGGTCAGAGCCTGGGTTCTGTCCAATGGGCTTAGAACCCTGTGTGTGTGTTTCTTCTTACCCTGCTTCAGCGACCTGAGGGGGAGTGAGTGGGTAGGTCTGAGTCCACACTGGGGCCAGAACATCAGTGGGGAGCAACAGGGCCATGGGTGGG